AGCTTAAGTCTCTACGTACAGTTACTAGATGCCTGGGAGGGTTGAGCGGGCGCCATTTTCCATTTCTGCCACTTGCATTTACAGTCTCAATTCGCTGAATTGCCCCACTTTTTCATACAGGGTCTCTTCCTTCAGTCTTTTGTATTTTTGATTATTATGTAAAACTTGCTTTTATTTTAATATTGATGTCAGTATTTCAACTGCTGTAAAATGATAAACTTTTGTACTTGGTAAGCACCGAGGAGCTAGTTTCTTCGTGCTCGGATGCAGGCATGCTTCCCACTGTTCTCTGGCCTCCAGCTGGCTGTATGACAGATCCATATTGTCCCTCTCTCCCCATCCTCATCCTCCTCAGAAACCTGGGCTGTTGCTTATGAGCCTCAGATCCAAAGTTGGCCAGCGTCTCCATTCTGCACCTTTTCCTTTGTGTTTATATGGCATTTTGTCTGTGTTGCTGTTTAGAGTAAATAAACTGTTTATATAAAAAAATTGAAAATGCAAGTAAACTCATTTGGACAGAGTCGGACATTGACATAACCTGAAAGGGAAGGAGCTCTGACCCAAATGCCATCGCTCAGATTAGCAGAAGGGAAAAGAGGTACAGTTACTGTCAATGGTGACCACAGTTTGCTCTCCAGGTAGAATTTAGTGCCACGTCCTTGGGTCCTTGGGTCCTTGGGTTCAGCTCACGGAGCATGAAGACTTTCCCCATGGGGCTAGATATCCATCCTTTCAGACTCACTATCATCCCTTTACAAAAGTATCACACTAATACTGGGGCCCCTATAGTCAGTCCTCCCTTTAACTCCCAGCAGCTGCCTTTTTGGGTTTTTTAGCAGAGGATTCCAAAAAAGCAGCATTTCCAGATTCTGCCAAATTTTCCCTTCTGTATAACTGATCTCTCTTTCCATACATTAGTCTTTAAAAAAAGTTATTGGGCTTTCCTCAATACATCCAACAATTTGTCACAGGTAACATTAGTCATTTGAAAACTTTTGGTTGAAGTAACAATCCACAAAAATAAATTGATCGATGTCTATGAAGTATGCCTGGGGAAAATAGGGCTTTCATCCTGCCCGGCAGTGTCTACAAGTTGAAGATGGCACTCTTGGTCCATTTACTGTGATCATCTTTAGGGATGTGCTTTCTATTATTGAATTGTATGAGTCAACAATTGAGTTCCACAAACTGAATTGTCTATGACAACATTCCTGTCTTTGTTTCTTACAAAGAAATAGAGGACACTGAAGTTCTGAGATGCCTTTTTCTTTCCTTCATTACTCTGGCCACCAGAAGTTACCTAGAGGGCTTCTCAATAGGTCTTCCCTAAATAGGGACTCAACTGGTCTCTTCATTACTTTTCTGTTGCTATAGTAAACACCAAAAGCAACTTTGGAAGAAAAGGGTTTATTTGGCTTCCATGCCCCAGTCACAATCCATCATTCGGGCAAGTCAAGACAGGGACTCAAGCAGAGCAGGAACCGGGAAGCAGAAACTGAAGCAGAAGACATGGAGGAAATGCTCTTTACTGGGTTTCTCTCGATGGCTTGCTCAGTTTGCTTTCTTATACAACCTAAGACCACCTGTCCAAGACTGGCACCTCCTACAATAAGCTGGGCCCTCCCACATCAATCATTAACCAAGACAATATCCCCACAGACACGCCTACAGACCAATCTGGTGGAGGCATTTTCTCAATTAAAAGTCCTTCTTCCAAGCTATGCCTAGATTTGTGTGAAGTTGACTTGTAAGTAACTAACCAACCCACAAAAGTTTCTTTGGTGGGAAATTTGTGCTGCCAAACCTTCCACAGACAGGTAGCCAGGACTGAAATCTTCAAGAAGCTGAACTGAAGCTTCTTGGCAGCCTCTTCAGCCTTGCTCCAAACACATCAGAGGCAGCAAGGCACCTCCTTTTGTGTTTAGAAGAGTGGCACACAAAGCAGACTGGAGGGGGGTACCTGAAATTAGATATTTTTAATGACCTTATTATTAAAAAGAGCCCTCCAAATTGAGAAGTAAATGTGTTTACAGAGTCCCTGGATATACTGCTGTCTGAATAAACTCAGGGATTCTGTTCGCTCTTTATCAGGATATAGTGGGCAAATTTCTTTTATACTCAAAGCCTCCACAGACTTTTATATCTGAATAAAAGTCCTTTCATTGGGGATTATCACTTAATCCCTAAGGAATAATGGTGCTTCTAGTGCGGAAGCAAGGCTACAAAACCCTCCAGGGAAATAACTGCAGTGTCTATTCTGAGACTTATACAGGTTCTAACTGGCACTAACAGACCGTTGTAAAGTTCATTTGCAGTACTGGCAAATGGTGAGGACCCAGAAAAAAGAGGAGTCCACTCACTTTTAGAGACTTAATACAAGACTTAATGGAGATCAGTTTCTTGGCTTTGATTTCCTGATATTAGACTAGACACCAAAGAAGGGTTTTGAGGGCAGGAAATGGGGCTCAGTTGGTAGAGCAGTTGCTGGCATGCATAAGGCCCTAGGTTCAATCTCTAGCACTGCAATAACAATAATAAGAAGATGGGGTTAAAAAAAAAAAGAAGATGATGATGATGATCAAGCATTACGATGAAAAAATAGTCACTAGATAACTACAGAAATTGCAGTGATAGGAACAGAATGACAACAACAGCAACAGAAAACAAAGCTATAAAAAAGCGAAGGCTGGGAAGATACCTCAGCTGACACAGTGGTTGGTGTACAGGTCTGACTGAGTGCATGAGAGTTCGATCTTCAGAACATGCACTGAGACAGAAATAAAAGCCAGGCATCATGCCATGCACTTGCAATTTCACATGTAGTGGTACAGGGGTGCAGCACCACCCTGTGCTTACACATGGAAAAATTGTAAATGTTTCTATCAAAATGTTAAATAAGACAAAACTCCTTTTTCAATAATTTTCTGAAGAAGCTACTTAGCTGAAATCCAAATTCTTACAGGGTTAGCACTTCTTAAAATCAAATATATGTTGGAGTTTCACTTTCTGCTAAAATTTGCATCTAATTTATGAACTACATCCCTTTAAATCAGCCAATTGTGTTTGAATGGATGCCAAGCTCTAACCACTCCACATGAGGTCCAGAACCCCCTCCCCTTGTATTATAATAAAAATACGGCAGAACCCCACTGTTGGTGTTCACCTGTTCACCTATGTACCCTTTTGGAAAAGTAAGGAAAACTTTTTTTTTTGAAACTTAGTCCCAGTTCCTAAGGGGAAAAAATAGTTCATTTATTTTATTTTTATGTGTATGGGTGTTTTGCCTATATGTATGTATGTTTTGCCTGGGACCCCCAGAGGTCAGAAGAGAATGTCAGATTCCAGGGAACTGAAGTTACCTGCATTTGTGAACCACCATCTACATGCTGGTACCCGAATCCCAGGTCATCGGTGAGAGCAACAAGCACTCTTAACCACAGAGCGATCTCTCCAGTCACCTAGACACATTTCTTACATGCAGTGCTAGGGACTGAACACAGAACTTCACACATGCTTAGACAGCAAGTTAGCTTCTGCACTATCACAAATGCCTAGAAAGACATTTCTTTACAACAAAATCAACTACCCTTTACTGGCATCGAACAAGAAAGACTCGCATTGCTAAACATACTTATGAAACCGAAGTTAGAAATGGAAGATGGAACCATATTACAGACCGTTTAAAAATGAAAAAAAATCACAGGAGACACTATTGTGACTCTTTTCTTCTAATTTAGATAAATGGACAAATTCCTAGAAAAAAAACAGTAATTACCAAAGCCAACTTTGGTGGTTTGAACAAGAATGCCTACCCCCAATAGGCTCATTTATTTGAATGACTAAGCATTCAAATAAATGAGAAAGATTAGCAGGTGTGACCTTGTTGGAGGAAATGTGTCACTGAGGGTGGGCTTTGAGGTTTCAAAAGCCCAAGATAGGCCCAGTGGCTCTCTCTCCTCCAGTTGCCTGAAGATCTGGATGTAGGACTCTCAGCTGCTTCTCCAGCACCGTGTCTGCCTGGAGGGTGCCATGCTCCCCTCCATGCTAATAATGAACTAAACCTCTGAAACTGTAAACCAGTCCCAATTGCATGCTTTATTATAAAGAGTTGACGTGGTCATGGTGTCTCTTTACAGCAATAAAACAGTTACTAAGACACTGACTAAAGAGCAAACAAAAAAAATCTGAATAAACCCCAAATAAAGAGACTAGATTAATAATTTAAAACAAAAATTACCCTCCATAAAAATCCTAGAACCTGGGTTCTCTAGAAGAACAGAACTGACAGAATGAATGTGTGTGTGTGTGTGCAATATATATGAATAATATTAAATATTATATATGGCAGCGGCATGCTGTGGTCCAGCTACTTCAACAAGGGCTGTCTACCAGCAATAGCTCTTCAGTCTGTGAGGCTGAATGTCTCAGCTGGTCTTCGATATACTCCAGAATCCCAAAGAATTGTGCCTTAATGACAGGAATGGAATGAATTTGCCATCAAGAGTGAGGGCAAGCAGGCAAAAAGCAAGTACCTCCTTCTCCCATGTCCTTTATATACAGACTGTTACTAGAAGATAAGGCCCAGATTTAAGGTGGATCATTTCACCTCAAAAGATCCAAATTTAGGGTGGGTCTTCCCACTCCAAATAATTCAATCAAGAAAAATCCACCCCCCCCAAAAAAAAGAAAAGAAAAATCCCTCACAGGTGTACCCAGCCTCTTGGGTTTTATCTAATCCCAGACACAGTCAAGCTGATAAGCAAGAATAGCCATCATGGTGGTTAAGAGCACCTACTATTTTTGCAAGGACCCCGGTGGCCCACAACCACCCATAACCCTATTTCCAGGAGATCCCTCTCCTAACTTCCCCAGACTCCTAATCGCACTTGGTGCAAATACATGCACCCATGT